ACGACGACGACGACGACGACGACGACGACGACGACGACGACGACGACAACAACAACAACAACAACAACAACAACAACAACAACAACAAAAAGATGAGACAGCTGACTATTGCTGGCTCCCAACAGGGCTGACATTGTTCCTTCACATAATGAGCTCGTTCAGTGTGGACAGAGAGAACACTGAACCTTTCTGTCAGCTCTGCTCTCAATGACCTTACAGCCAGCATGCACCTGTCCTTCACCTCCAATATTCAGGCTGCATTAAAAACAAAACTGCTAGAGAAACACAAAAAAACTCCCCACAAATTCCAGCATTCTTGAGATTATAGGAATATGTGTACAACAAAAACAGGATTACTGCATACAACAACCAGCATGATGGAACTGCTGCACACACCAAAGACCATGAGGATGTTTATTAAAGATAAATCGTGTTTTTGGTGTGCACCAGGGATGTGAGGATTAACTGGTTCATACAGATTCACAGATGTGAGCATGCACAAACTGAACAGATCAGTGGAGAAGTCATGAACAATCGGGAGATGAAATATAGTTAGTGCTAGTTTACATATAGCATTTGATCCATTTATTTTTTTAGAGGAAAAGTTTAAAAGAAGGTTCATTTTAGCATCTGCCTAACAATAAAGCAAACGAGTTTAAATTAAACGTTTTTCAGTCAGGTCATCTGGACAGTTTCTTTTTTTTGTGCTGAAACGTTTCACCTTCCATCCAGAAGGCTTCATCAGTCAAGGAAACACACAACACAAAACTGATTCTTCCCCCAACAGCTTACTCCAACGTGGAACAAACCAGTTATGTTGGTGCTAAGATGGTCTCTTTGGCATGCCCCCTCCTCCTGTCCAGATGACCTGACAGAAAAATGTTGGATTGTATACCTGGATTATTGAGCATGAACTTTGTTAAGTTTAAATTAAGTCCCCCCCCCCCCCTTCTTCTTTCAGCTGCTCCCTTCTTCAGAGGTCGCCACAGCGAACTAAGGGGCCGTTTACACGGCACGTATTTTGAGTGAATTTGCTCCTTTCTCTCTGCGGTTCTGCTGATCATTTACACGACACCAGTGGCCCCCCCTCTTTGAATCCGGAGGTTTCTGAATCCACTTTCCAGAGTGGAGGTTTTTCGCTGCCCCCCGCTGATAATGTAAACATCTCCCGCTGAGGCTTCGTGTTAAATCACATGTGCGGACAGACGACATATTCCTATCAACATGGCGGCGGACACACTGCTTTCAGAACCTCGACTGATGGAATATATTTTTAATCTTGTAGTTAATCTACGTCAGATTCCAGGTGCTGTGACGACATCTGTGTTGGAAGAGACACAGTCAGATCCAGTTCTAATGTCGCTGTTTATAGAACGAGGCATGCGCACACGTCGCGCTGCACTAGAACATATAAATGTGCTAAATAATAAGTTAAATAATAATAAACAGTATTTATCTTTAGTTTGAGATATATAATGAAGCTCTGAGCTAAATGAAGCTATCTGGACATTATGTAATTCAAATTTAAAATGATGCTAAACATGTTGCGAGTTATTAAAGTTGAAAATGACGACATCAGGTTTAATTTTTATTTATTTATTCAACACAACAAACTGTATGTCACACAAACGCTGATAATTAAACTGAACACACAAAAAACACGTTAACTGTAAACTACATTAATGAACTGGACTCTTGTTTCCATCCTGGACTCTGGTCCCACGTTGTTCATCTGGCTCGTTCAGGTTGTCACTCCTTTGATTAATGCAGCTTAAAATATTAAATGGATTGAATAAAAGAATTGAGGGGAATTTAAAATAAATAGTTCATCAACATCTCTCTTCGACGTCCTCCTGCACTGCACCTGGGCCGAGCCTCATTCAGAACCAGTCTGCCTGGTGGAAGGACAGCTTCTTCTTCTTTCAGGAAAAATAAAAGAAAAAAGAAACTCAGTTGGTTGTTGTGTGATCAAAGTAAACACAAACTAACATTATTAAGAACATTTGATTTACCTGCTGTAAATCAGCTACTGATTATCACGGAGTAAAGTCCAACATCGTCAACTCGGTTCTGGTCCACTCAGCGACCGGTGTGGAGCTGAAGCGGTCCCGCTTGGCATCAAATCTGTCGACTCTTATCCAAAATCCAGCTTTAACTTGTTAAATTGTTGTTAGCTGAGCTTTTAGCCCACAGGAAAGGAGCGGGCTGAGGCAGCACGCATGCGCATTAGGTGAAGGTACAAAATTCACAGCGGCATCTAATGACCCGGCATGGTAACTACAGCGGATTCGGGAGGGCAGGGGGGAATCCTCCGGATGCATGTAAACAAAATCCGACCGTGTCAATGCGGATCTTTTCTTCTAAATAACATACGAAAAAAACCTACGTTTCCCCCCATCGTGTCTGTGTAAATAGGGCCTTAGTTGCACGAAGACTTGGCAGTTATTTTTACGCCAGATGTCCTTCCTGCCGCAACCACAGACACAGAGCTACCACAGCCCTCTATGTGGAGCAGAGAGCTGCTATCTAGGACACCTGGAGGAGCAAATGGTGGGGGTTAAGGACCTTGCTCAAGGGCCCAGAGTGGGGCAGACGAGGGTGGAGGCAGGTGTGGGTGCTTCACCTAACCTACCCACATCTTCGTTCAACCTTTATTTAGACAGATAAATCCCATTGAGCCTTGAGGACTCATTTACAAGAGAAACCTGGTATTTTGATGTCAGTACCGGGAGTTGAACCAGTGATTTTCCGATCAAAGGCCCACCTTCTCTAACCTCTGCGCCACCACGCCCAAATTAACATTTTGTAAGTCTTTATTTTGGCCTTTTTTGTACCGAAAATTAATCGAACCCTCCTTGAAACTAAACCAAACTGAAATGTGATTTTAGCGTACCGTTACACCCTTAATATTTACACTACCGGTTTTAGAAAGCAACCTGCTGTGAAACTTGTGTTTTGTTGTTCATCTTTAAGAAAATACATTTTTGCAGATCATTGCCGAGTTATTTTAGCTCAGCTGCTAGTTAGCTAGCTCAGCTTGCAAAGCAGCATTTCTATGTAAAATTTTACACAGAGGCTACGCTCCCACTGCAGGTCTTAGTTCCAGTATTTTTGTGTTGTTCATATTATAAATAAATGTGACTTGTCAGACTCCAGTGTGAATGAGAATTAAATACTAAATTGAATCTATTGCTTTTTGCTGATCGTGCACTTTTAATTTGTCGGGATGTTGGCAGGGAAACATATCGTTTAAACCACAGACCATAAACGTGTTGTCAGCAGAATTTTATATGAGGGTTTCCTCTCACCATTCTCCTTCCGCAGCCGGGAGATGAACTTCTTGGGTGGGATGACGCCCACCTTTTTCTTCTGTGTAGCAATGGAGTGGAAGAGGTCAGCCAGGCATGTGAGCAGGTTCTCCTTCTTCTTCTGCTGGGCTTTGTAGGCCAGCACGTTCTCTCGGAAAGGCCGGCAGAAGTAGAGAGCCTGCAGCACCGAGTTACAGTAACACGTATTTCCAAACTGAGGAAGAAGGCAACACACAAACACAAACTCTTATCAGAAGCTTAAAACATCATTTAGAACCATTTGTTCATTTTAGAGAGCTGCTGCCTCTCAGCGAGCAGGTCCTTGGTTCAAACCCAGGTCCAGGTGCCTTCTGGGTGGAGTTTGCATGTTCTCTCCGTGCATGCGTGGGTTTTCTCCGGGTACTCCGGTTTCCTCCCACAGACCAAAAACATGCATGTTAGGCTGATTGGTAACTCTAAATTGTCCCTAGGTGTGAGTGAGAGAGTGAATGGTTGTTTGTCTCATTTGTCTCTATGTGGCCCTGTGATGGACTTGCGACCCGTCCAGGGTGTCCCCCGCCCCTCGCACAGTGATTGCTGGACATGGGCACCAGCGACCCCCGTGACCCAAAATGGAATAAACGGGTAAAGAAAATGGATGGATGGATGGATGTTCATTTTAGTGGGAAAAAAACCAGCAGTGTGCTCCATTTGGATCAAGATGGCAGCTGAAACCATCTCACGGGTTGATAACCCGGTGTGTTTACATCACATTACTCTACTACTGTCTTTACTTACTCTGCTCAACCTGTTTTGTATTTGTAATAATTTTTTCTATCCTTAAAATGTGTTTTTTTTGTGTGTTTCAGATTCACCTGGACCTATACCTGGACCTACCATTCTGTGTTCGTCTGTCTCCTTCCTGTCCTCTCAAACCAGCCGGTCAAAGCAGATGGCCTCTTGTCCTGATCCTGGTTCTGCTGGAGGTTTCTTTCTTTTAAAAGGGAGTTTTTCTTTCCACTGTCTCCACTGTGCTTGCTCAGGATGGGAGACTGCAACGAAGCCAAGATTCAACTTGTCTGCTGGATTCCTTAGATAGAGAACTTTACTAATTGGCTTTTATGTGAATGTTCCTGTAAAGTTCCCTGAGACAACTTTGTTGTGATTTGGCGCTTTATAAATAAACTGAATTGAACTGAAATTGAATTAAAAAGGCAGAACATTCAAGGAGTCACACCAGCTGTTCGACCAGCAGACGTGACTCACCGCTCTCTCTTTGTTTTGAAAAATGACTCCGATGTTATTTGGCTGTGTGTGTTGATGCAGAAGAGGATTTCGTGAGACTCACATTAACCAATCCAAAATAGTGTTCATTGATGGGGAATTGCTCCGGGCCGATGTCTTTCTCCAGAGCGGAGGCATTGGTGCCCTGTGAGAGCAAAACAAAGCACATAAACATCTCACGCAGCATTTTTATCCATCTACTCTATGCATATTTCACCAAACTGAATACTGAAGTAAACATGCTGTTTTACTCAACTATAAAAGCAAACGGATCACATAATGAAAGAGTTTATATTAAAAACTTAAATATAATGTTATGCACAATCTAACAGTGCTTGGAGGACGTGTTGGGAACGACTCCCAGCTCAGAACACCACATACAGAACACCATGGACTTTGTGGATAAGGTGAGGGATGTCATCATGGAGACTGATGAAACAATGGTCTCTTTTGATGTCACATCACTCTTTACATGCATTCCTGTTGATGATGCAGTAGAGGTGGTCAGTTTAAAATTAAAATCAGACACCACTCTGAGCAGCAGGACCACGCTTTCCACAGAACAACTGTGTCAACTCTTGAAACTGTGCCTGCAGTCAACCTACTTCACATATGGGGAGCAATATTATAGGCAGAAACATGGGTGTGCTATGGGGTCTCCAGTTTCTCCTATCGTTGCCAACCTGTACATGGAGGAGGTAGAAAAGAGAGCCTTGACGTCCTTTTCAGGGACACCACCAAGTCGTTGGTTCAGGTATGTTGACGACACCTGGGTTAAAATTAAATCTCAGGAAGTCCAACATTTTACTGACCACATCAACTCTGTGGATAAATACATCAAGTTCACACGAGAAGATGTAAAAAATGGCAGGTTGGCTTTCTTGGACTGTGAGGTCTCAGTCTCTGATAGAGGACATTTGCAAACTGAGGTGTACCGCAAACCCACCCACACAGACCAGTATTTGCAGTTTGACTCCCATCACCCTTTGGAGCACAAGTTAGGAGTCATCAGGACTCTGTATCACAGAGCAGACAGCATCCCCACTAGCTCAGGAGCCAGGCAGAAGGAGAAATCCCACACAAGACATGCTCTAGAGCAATGTGGATATCCTAACTGGGCCTTCCTGAAAGCAGAGAAGAAACCCAAACAGGACTCCAGTCAGCCATCAGGTGAAAAGGAGGAACCCAGACCCAGACCAGTGGTCATTCTGTATGTTGAGGGAGTATCAGAGAAACTGAGACGTTTATTTTCTAAACATAACGTCCCAGTGGCTTTTAAACCCCAAAATACATTACGGCAAAGACTGGTTCATCCCAAAGATCCAGTCCCCCGGCACAAACAGAGTAATGTTGTGTATGCTGTTCAGTGTCAGGAGGGTGATCAGTCTTACATCGGGGAAACAAAACAGCCACTGGCCAAAAGGATGGCCCAGCACAGAAGATCAACATCATCAGGCCAGGACTCTGCGGTCTACACTCATCTCCAGGCCAGCGGTCACTCTTTCAGGGATGAAGATGTTCACATCCTGGACAGAGAGGAACGATGGTTTGAGAGAGGAGTAAAGGAGGCCATCTTTGTGAAAAGAAATCGTCCATCATTAAACAGGGGTGGAGGCCTCCGGGTTCAACTGTCCCCCTCTTACAATGCTGTGATTGCTAGTATCACTCAGCCCCCTGTGAATAGTAAACAGCCATCAGTGTGCTAATGATCCATTGTTAGGCTGATGGTCCTTCTTGAGCATGTGATCAGCTGGTTTTGGTTGTCAGCAGCAAAACTGGCTGATCCACTCTGAGAAGGTGCTATTTAAGAGACTGAGCTGAATACAGCACCTCAGACTGAGGAAGTCTGTTGGATGAGAGACGAAACGTTTCTAGATTTTTTTTTTTTTGCTTTGTTTTTTGTTTTTTTGAATGTCCAGAGGACCAGATTTAACTTTCTTGGACTCCCAGCTAATTCTACACCAAAGTTTAGCTCAGCTTGTAAATTCTACAAGTTATACACACCTTTCTATTTTCTAGAGTCAACTGGCTATGGTGGCCATCTTGAATTGTGTTGACTCAAGTTAATTAGTTGTGCATGTACATCCACCGATTGTTAATGAAAGGTTCATTAAAATATGTCCAGTGGTCCTTCAGACGTTTGGCTACTAAACAGACAACGATGTGCGCACGCACACACACACACACACACACACACACACACACACACACACACACACACACACACACACACACACACACACACACACACACACACACAAAAACGCCCGCAAAAACATTACTGTCTGGCACCTCACTGCCAGACTTCAGTGTCAGTTTCTGTCTGAATGTCCAAACCACATTCTTTCAGTGTAGGAAACAGATCTGGTCTAAATGAGCAGAATCCCATCAAAAGTTGGGAGGACTGAGCTCCTGGTTGCTGAGACACAAGCATTTATCTCCTTTTTGGAGCCTTTTCACTTGTCAGAGCTTGAAGCTTCTCCAAATGAACCGCAGCTTTGTTGAGGGAAAATAGCAGACATTAAGTTTGAGGAAGGCTTCGACTTTTAATGGCCGTCGTTATTTTCGGTCAAAGCACACTGAATGTCCCTCTGTTCGATTAACCACCTACAGTTCAAGATGCTTCAACAGATATTCAGGTCTGTGAACTGGAGCCACTGATAATCAGAGCAAATTCAGTAAACATTTACCTGGAGGGTCTTGAAATTACATAAAAATGTAGCCATGCTACATTTCTGAGAGACAGAGGAGGATCAGTGCAGCCTCTCGTCACACCACGTTCTTGAATTGGAGCGGACATTATTACACACACACTTACACATTGTCATTTGTTGTATTAAAATCATTACAGCTGGTAAATGTTTTACTGTGACTTTATTTTCTTGTCTGACATAAATGCAGCCCCCGCCCCAAGTAGTATACTACTACAGGTAAATGGTCTGAGCAATCACTACTCAAAGTGTCAGACCACTGATCTCTGTAGTGTCAGGTAGGCCTGTCTCAATAAACAATAAATCAATTAATCGCATGATAAATTAAAATTATTGACCTCATTTTCATTCATCAGCTTTATCGTTTCTTCATGTCTCTCTCTTTCTACTGAAGACACTGGATGACAAAAGCTCTACTCCCGTGCCCTTTACTGACCCCTCCCTTTCTCTTTTCTCTTTAAAATCCATTTTAAGTGTCCAAAATCGCGTTTCTGAATCGTTAAAAGCACAGACAATAAATAACGTCTATGGTTAAAAGCAGCTAAGCTGAGAAGCTAACAGGCTGACCTCAGGGAAAAAACCTCCGTCTTGTCGAAGCTCCAAAATTCACGGTTGAAACCCGTGCCTTCGTGTAAATAGTTTTTCTCTGTAAAAAGAAGCTAAGAACTTGTTTACTGATTTTTTTTTATGAAAAGCTTTGTGTGAAAATGCTAAGCTAAAGAGCTCAAACCACACCGAGCATCCGCCATTTTGAGAACTGGAGACAGCCCATGACATGTCAAGAGGCCTCCCTCCCATTTTTCTTTAAAAAACGCACTGCTTGCTCCCTCACTATCCATCCTTCAGTTCAAACACGCTTACACTACCATCCGGTGGTCGAAAGCAGGTACTGCGTGCAAAGCAAATTAAACCTCTCTTCTTAAATTTGACAATAATTACTAATTACTGTCAAATTTCAAACAATATTATCGTTTATCACGATAATTTATGAGACAATTACTTGCCCAGAAAAATTTGTTATTGTGACAGGCCTAGTGTCAGGTGTAAACAGGAGTTCTGTATCAGTCTATGTGAAAGAAAATTGTTTATTATAAATAAGCTTACAGATACACTGCCTGGCCAAAAAAAAAAAAAGTTGCCACCTGGATATAACTAAGCAAATAGGTACGAGTCTCCTATTGGATAATTACTTCATGGACTATTATCTTTCAGCTGCAACAAGTTATTTAACCTCAACTGGTGCAATGAGTTGCTTCTCATTTCTTAAACAACCATGTCTAAAGACACATCACGTGGTCGTGGAAAAGATGTCAGTCTGTTTGAGAAGGATCAAATCATTGGCTGCATCAAGCAGAGAAAACATCTAAGGAGATTGCAGAAACTACTAAAACTGGGTTAAGAACTGTCCAACGCATTATTAAAAACTGGAAGGATAGTGGGGACACATTGTCTTACAGGAAGAAATGTGGCTGGAAGGAAATCCTGAATGATCGTGATCAGTGATAACTTAAATGTTTGGTGAAATTAAATCCAAGAAAAACAACAGTAGCACTCAGGGCAATGTTTAATAGTGAAAGTAAGAGCCTTTCCACATGCACAATGTGAAGGAACTGGGACTGAACAGCTGTATAGCCTTAAGAAAACCACTAATCAGTGAGGCTAACTGGAAAAAAAAGGCTTCAATTTGCTAGGGAGCATAAAGATTGGACTCTGGAGCAATGGAAAAAGGTCATGTGATCTGAGTCCAGATTTACTCCGTTCCAGAGTGATGGGCACATCAGGGTAAGAAGAGAGGCAGGTGAAGTGATGCACCCATGATGCCTAGTGCCTAGTCATCAAATTAGTGCCTAGTCATCAATGCAAGATCTTGGTGAAAAATTAATGCAACACTGGATGGAAATAGATCTTGTGACATTACAGAAGCTTAATGAAACAATGCCACAGTGAATGCATGATGTGATCAAAGCTAAAGGCGGTCCAACAAAATATTAATGTTATTTTGGGTCAGGCAGTGTAGTACATAAAGGCAGAGTCGGAACAATTTGCTAATAAAGTCACTGACAGAAAATGAAAAAGATAAGATTCTTTGACGTGCTATTCTGTGGAGTTGTCATCAGTAATCAACATCTTACCTGCAGTAGACATCACTCATTGGACATACAAGGCCGAAGGTTTCATTGAAAACTGCAGTAACTGTTATGTGATGTTCTACCACTCATTCATTACACTAAATAAATTGTACGGACAAAAAACAAGACTCAGTTTAAGCGTGACCATCTTCTGCCGAAGGTGAAAGATAAATGTACACATTTTAATGAAACTCTTAGAGTAATCATTGAGTATACATCTACAACTGATTCACTTTTGTAGAGGAACTAGTGGAGGTTGTATTTGAACTGCCGCAGCAACAGTACATTAGAAAATACAAAAATGGCTTTTACTCAGCTAACCAGTCCATTATCTTTACCCGCTTCCTCCGCTGAACTAAAACTTGGACTGGTAGTAGCTGAGAGTTATCCCCTGTGCATACCTGGAGCACCAATACATCTCTTAAAATCTTGCAACATCACATGAAATTGTGCATAATATTTACAAGAGTGGATCAAAACAGTAATGTTTAACCCCGTTGTTTCTTAGCATATATGATCTTATTTTTAAAAGCTGGCCTGGCCTTTAATTTTTATTTCACATCACTTTTGAACTATGCCAAATATAAATTATACAAGAAATATTTCGTGCTTTTCTTGCTAGTTGCAGTCTTGTTCAGAAAAATGCTTATTTTCATTGCAGCACTGGTGCAAACGGGACACAATAAAACAAATGCCTACATGAAATAAAAAACAGCTTTAGAAGGTTAATCTACAGTAAATAAATGCTGCAGATACTTGTAAATCAGCCCTCAGAGCAGACCAAGTCTGCAGGCTTGAGACATGCGTGTGCTGTCTTTAGACATGCGTGTGCTGTCTTTAGACATGCGTGTGCTGTCTTTAGACATGTGTGTGCGGTCTACATAAAGCTAGCTCCACAGGCATTAAGTCTGTTCTTTCCTACTTTCTCTCTGGCCCTGAACACAACGTAAACACAGATTCCTGCTGTGTTACCAGGACATGAAGGGCTCTGCAGCAGGACCACATTATGCAACAACAAGCTGTCAGGGGCCGCACACTGTCCCTCACAGCTGGACATGTCCACTGTGTCCTCTCTCAGCAGGCTGCAACACTGAGCAGCGTGTCTGAGCACTGAGACCTGTGAAAGTGGCCTACCGCCTCCCTGGACATCCTGTTGTACAGGAGCCGGTGTTTGACAGCAACTCAGTCCATCACGCAGCTTCCAGTTTCTGCAGGTTAGCAAGGCAGGTAAAAAGAAAGTTACTCACCATATTACAAATGGAGGCAATGTTTCTGACAGTCATTTAGTTTACAGTGTCCCCCTCACTGCCATCTCCATAAAAGAAACAAGAGCGAGGCGACGCTGACAAATGGAGTTAATTCGCAGCTGCGGCTGGAGGCCAAGCAGCAACCCCAGGCGGAGGGACACGGAGAACCATGCAGCCGGTGTTGTTCGACTCTGCTCTCACTGCTGGTCCGCCTTCATCCTCTTCACACATATGTCGAAAACAGTTCGGCTGGAAACCACCGGAGTTTGAGAGAAAATGCTGACAGGAGAACTTGCGGGCAGCAGGTTGTTATCAGCGACCAGGAGACAGTCCTACTGTGAGTGAAAGATGAAACCCCGCCTTTTTTATGAAACTCCGACGATGATTGGTCTAGAGTTACTGGTTTGATTGACAGGAAAAGTTGTCCACACACTGACTTGCACGGGGAAGTTTACTTGTACTGCAACCAATCACCAACAAGTATAGGAAGCAATGCATTTAGGGATATGTAGTTATATAAATTGGTATGGTATGGTATATAAGAGTAACTATGTAGGAATTTCATAGGCTTTTTGTAAAATTTCGAGTAATTTTAAGTAATTAATTTCGCGAATATAATAACTTTTACACCAGAAATCGAGATGAGTTGTCTCTTTCAGGGAACAAAGGGTATTTACTACCAGATAACGTCCTGCACATCAGGTTTTGTAAATGAGTCCCCGTGGTTCAATGGGATTAACCTGTATAAATAAAGGTTGAATGAACATTATGTTAAAAAAAATGGATGAAAAAATAGCAAAGGACAGTTTAAAGTTGACATATTTTTGTTTGATAATTACATATATCAAAGGTGTTGATTTTGAATAATCTTTTAATCTTTAAATCACCCCATCAATTATGGTTCCATCCATCCATCCATTAACTTTCGCTTATTCCGAAGTCGAGTCATGGGGGCAGCAGCTTGAGTAGGGAGGCCCAGACATCTCTTTCCACAGCCACCTCTTCCAGCTCTCCTGGGAGGATTCCAAGGCATTCCCAGGCCAACCGAGAGACATAGTCTTTCCAGCATGTCCTGGGTCTTTCCCGGGGTCTCTTCCGGTTGGACATGCCCGAAGCACCTCTCTAGGGAGGTGCCCAGGGGGCATCCTACCAGATGCCCGAACCACCTCAACTGGCTCCTCTCTACGTTGAGGAGTAGTGGTTCTATTCCAAGTCTCTCCCGGATAACTGAATTTCTTACCCTAGGGAGAGTCCAGCTACGCTGCGGAGAAAACTCATTTAAACCGCCTGTAGCCGCAATCTCATTCTTTCGGTCACTAGAGCTCATGACCATAGGTGAGGGTAGGAACGTAGACCGAGTGGTAAACCGAGAGCTTTGCCTTAGAGATCAGCTCCCTCTTCACCACAACAGACCGGTACAGAGTCCGCAATACTGCAGATGCTGCACCAATCCGTCTGTCAATCTCACAATCCATTCTTCCCTCACTCCTGAACAAAACCCCGAGATACGTGAATTCCTCCACTTGAGGCAGAAACTCACCCTCGACCTGAAGAGAGCAATCCACCCTTTTCCGGTTGAGGACCATGGCCTCAGATTTGGAGGTGCTGATTCTCATCCCAGCTGCTTCACACTCAGCTGCGAACCACTCTAGTGAGAGCTGAAGATCACGGCACGATGACACCAACAGGACCACATCATCTGCAAACAGCAGAGATGGAATCCTGAGGCCACCAAACCAGAAACCCTCCGCCAGCTGGCTACACCAAGAAATTATGTCCATAAAAGTTATGAACAGAATCGGTGACCAAGGGGAGCCCTGGCGGAGTCCAACTCCCACCCTGAAGGGGTCTGACTTACTACCGGCAATGCGAACCAAACTCTTGCACTGCTTGTATAGGGACTGAACAGCCTGTAACAAATGGCTTCCAATCCCATACTCATGGAGCACCCCCCACAGTGTATCCTGAGGAACACGGTCAAATGCCTTCTCCAAGTCCACAAAACATATGTAGCTTGGATGAGCAAACTCCCATGACCCCTCAAGGACCCTAGTGAAGGTAAAGAGCTGATCCAGTGTTCCACGGCCAGGACAGAAACCGCATTGTTCCTCCTAGATCTGAGGTTCGACCAACGATCGAACTCGCTTCTCTAGTACCCCTGAATAGACCTTACCAGGGAGGCTAAGGAGAGTGATGACCCTATAATTGGAGCACACCCTCTGGTCCCCCTTTTTGAAGAGGGGGACCACCACCCCAGTCTGCCAATCAAGTGGCACTGCCCCCAATGTCCACGCGACGTTGCAAAGGCATGTCAGCCAAGACAGCCCCACAACATCCAGAGCCTTAAGGAAATCAGGGTGAATCTCATCCACTCCTGGAGCCCTGCCACCTCGGAGCTTTTTAACTACTTCGGCAACCTCAGCCACAGTTATGGACGGATCAACCACAAAGTTCCCCGACTCAGATTCTTCCATGTAAGACGTGCTGGTGGGATTGAGAAGGTCCGAAAAGTATTCCTTCCACCTCCCGACGACATCACTGGTTGAGGTCAACAGCACCCCACCTTCACTGAACACAGTGTTAGTAAAGTGCTTCTTTCCCCTACTCAGCCACCTGATGGTTTGCCAGAATCTCCTCGGAGCTGACCGAGAGTCTCTATCCAAGGTTTCACCGAACTCCTCCCACATCTGAGCTTTTGCCTCAGCATCAGCCAAGGCTGCAGACTGCTTGGCCCTCCAGTACTCCTCAGCTGCCTCCAGAGTCCCACTGGCCAACAAGGCTCGAAAGGACTCCTTCTTCAGCTTGACAACCTCCCTAACCACTCAGCCACAGCCGCCCCTCAATCGAAAAAGGTTTCCAGTCAAGGCAATGTAATAAAAATAAAATTAAAAGAGGAATCATAATAGGTGACAGGCCAGACAAAGAGCGATTCAGAAGATTTTTATGGACAAAACAAAACAAGGAACTCAGTGTCCCTTGCCCGGGCGTGGGTTACTGGGGCCCCACCCTGGAGCCAGGCCTGGGGGAGGGGCTCGTCGGCGAGCGCCTGGTGACCAGGTCATGGGGCCTGGTCGGGCTCAGCCCAAAGGAGTAGCATGGGTTTGCCTTCCTGTAGACCCACCACCTGCAGGAAGGGTCATAAAAGTCAGGTGCATGACGCTATTGGCAATGGCCGAAGGCGGGGACCATGGCGCTCTTACCCTGGCTAGGACGCCCTAGGTCGTAGATCAATGATTGACTTCATAGTCGTGTCATCTGATTTGCTGCCGTTTGTTTTGGACACTCAGGTGAAGAGGGGAGCTGAGCTGTTAACTGATCACCACCTGGTAGTAAGTTGGATCAGATGGTGGGGAAGATGCTGGACAGACCTGGTAGACCCAAACGTGTAGTGCGGGTTTGCTGGGAACGCCTGGCAGAAGAACTCGTCAGAGAGATCTTCAACTTACACATCCGGGAGAGCTTTAACCGCATATCAGCTGAGGTGGGGGACATTGAGTCAGAGTGGGCCATGTTCCGTACCTCGCTTGTTGAGGTAGCTGCCTTGAGCTGTGGCCACAAGGTTGTCGGTGCTTCTCGCGGTGGCCATCCACAAACTCGGTGGTGGACACCTCTGGTTAGAGCAGTCGTCCTCCAATGCAAGAGTTGGGGGTTCAAATCCACCAGCACCAGCAGTCACATGCCGAAGTGCCCCTGGGCAAGACACTGAACCCCTCATTGCCTCCGATGTGTGTCCCATCGGTGAATGAATGTGATAAAGGCACTTATTAGTCTCCTTAGAATGATTTGTTCTATTAGCTTTGTAGAGATCTAGTAGAGTGCTGAATGAATGGGTAAATGAGGCACAGATTGTAGTGCAAAGTGCTTTGAGTATCTGGATCAGATAGAAAGGTGCTATATAAGTACAGTCCATTTATCAATCAACCTTTATTTATACAGGTAAATCCCATTGAGCCTCGAGGACTCATTTACAAGAGAGACCTGATTTCAACAAAGAAAGATGACAACAATGGACAACAGCAACAACAATAAGCAGTTATAAAAACTCATACTACAGTTTTTTTTTTTTTAACAAATAGGATGGCTAAAAGGAAAAAAGGTAACAAAACAAAAAACAGCTAGATTCCAAAAGTTTACCATTTACCATTGACTTATGTTGTTTGATAAAGATGACCTGACTTTATGTGTATTTAAGGCAATTATTTAATCTCTCCTTTCAGTAATATTGCACATCACAAACAGCTCACTAAACATTTCAGTGTTTAAATTTCATAAAAATAAAATTCATAAAACAATTATTTGTACAAAACAAACAAACAACATTTCAGCTAGTTTATTTCATGCAATGAAATTTGTAGTTACACTATATAAAGCATTTTAAAACACCATAATGAATGTGCAGAAGAATGTAAGAGACAAAACAGCAGTCACAAGGCATACAGTACAAATAAGACATGAAGATCCCCAAAACATACATGAACATGAATACAACATGAAATAATCTAAATAAAAAGTCCCACCATATCGTGAAGGTATGACCTGCCGCCTCTCACACCTGAGTTTAAAACTAAAATAATTTTATGAGAACTGATAGTTATTTTACTTTGTATAATGTTTGATTGAATCTTTAAAATAACTTCATTGGTGATATCATTTTGTGATAATATCACAAAATGTTTCACCATTGGTTGCTCCCTGAGTACGTGTTGTGAATGACTTTTATCTAAGAACACACAAAATATTAGCTCTAGCAGTAAAAGATGAAACCCCGCTGAAAAACTTCGTGTCATCTTTTCAGGACTCTGGATTCTCAGGGGTTATTCTTGGCCATTCCTCGACATACCTCGAGAATGTTTATGGATCTCACCGGAGGACATTGACTGATTACAGTGACCTCGAGAGCATCTGTAAGCGTTGTTGACCACTCTCGTCTCTTCCTTCTTCCTGCTCTGCTGTATTGCAGAATGTTTACGTAAATATGTGCTTGTTTGTGCGAGGTGTTTTTTCAATATTCAATAATATATGGTGCAATGTGCCGAGTCATATTTTCAGTATGATCGTTGGGCACTTTTGGAGCTCCGTACAGTTGCTGAAATGCCTGCGGAGTTTTTGTACAGCGGTCAGCACTCTCCTCCACCGGTCCTGTCTGAGATTCCTGCATT